GCTCTAAGTAGGGAGCTCGGGCCTCTTGCTAGGGAGTCCGAGCTCTAAGTAGGGAGCTCGGGCCTGCTGGTCCCTTCCCTTTGGCGTTTGTACCCTCGGTATGGTCTTGAGTTCCGAGCTGCTTGCCTTTTTTGCCACGTGCCGTGATTTGCGAGGTTGGGCCAAATCTTCTTTCATCACAAACCAATTGACCTGAATCAGTTATACAGTGAATAATTAGGGATGTCAATTTACATCCTATTGAAGGGGTGTTTTTTATTTTTATTTTTTACTTTTTTTGAAAAATGGATTTTGGAGTAGAGACAGATTTTGGGATTTTACAACCTGCATAGTAGGGTACCCAATTTGTTTGTTGAATTTATTTGCATTCCCCCCTATGCTTAGGCGGTTGATAGTTGATAGTTTGTATTGTTTATATGTTGCAATAAAATAATTAGAAAATTCAATATCCGTTCATGTAATTTTTCTTGTTTATTGCTTATATATAACAGAAAATTAGATGCAGGTTCTAAACTTGACTTGACCCACTCTCAAATGGATAAAGGATTTTGCATTTTCTTGTGTGAGGAGTGTTTGGATTTTGAAAATCCAAGCTACTATAGGTTTTGGAAAAGCTATAAATTGGGAGGTTTGGGAAGGTGGGGAGGGTCTAGAATTTACAAAAGCCTCTTCATTTCCATCCCTATGAACGATATACAAAGGTATCCTGGTTTTTTTTTTTTTAAATTTGTTTGTTATATTTTATGTTAGAATAAATTTCATGGGCAACATATAAGATAATATTTGTTTAAACACTAGCTTTATTAACATATAAACAGTTTACTATTTACTGTCCTTTTTATTGAAGTTATATTATAGAAAATTGTTCCTCTTTCCAAATCCCTACCTATGTGACATTACCTTCCTTCTATTGTGATAAATTCCTTCACTTGTTTCTTGTACAAAACTTACAAAATTTTATGAGGTGGAGAAATCTATAAAATCCAAAAAAATGAAGATTTTAATTGTACTTTTATATGTAATTATAGTTATTTGTTTTTTAGAAAATGTAATTATATAGTTAACAATGTCAAGCATAATCGGGTCTAATGAGGTCAAGCCAACTATCCCCGTTAATAATAATTGGTTTGGTTCTAGATCTATTTCATAGAAATTAATTAATAAATTGATTTAGGATGGGTCCACCTTGTCCCCAACCAGATCCAACCCATTGACAATTCAATCCACCTTTGTGGATGAGACCCTTCAAATGGCGTCATATATTGCTGCTTGATGATAATTCTATCCCTAATGTTAAATCGAATATATAATTCTAAATTCATGGCCATTGGTTTCAGAATATCCTTTTACTCATTCTTGGGAATTGTGATTTTTTTCCTTTTGAAGAAATCTGTTTTCCTACCCAAAAATAAAAAATAAAAAATAACTGTTCTATAGATCACATGGTGACAACCACAGTCAATCAGGAGAGAGGAAACCAAGGCTGATTTGGTTTCTGAAAAAAAAAAAAAACAAATTTTTGAAGAAACGAAAAGTTGTGGGAATGTCCTAAGGTATTTTATGAAATTCCTGGAAAACAATTTCACAACTTTTTATTTTTCACTTTTTTTTGAGAAAATAAATACAACAAAGGTTTAAAAAACCAACAAAGTGAATGGAATAGATCAATGAAGAGGACGACACCTAATAAAAACCAATAAAATGGTAAGTTTGCGTTTGGAAATAATGCAAATAAGTGTGAATGCAAATATGTAGAGTGTAAAACGGTTCATATAAATTACAAAGTTGGGTTAGTTTTGCACTCACAAATTTATCTTCATACCAAACAGACTTTTAGTTGTAATAGATGCAAACACAAATTCCAATAAAGCATATACCTTTTTTATCAAAAGCCCATTTGAATGTAAATTTACTTCTTTGTCAATGCATAAATATAAAATTGTCAAATACAGGCAAAAGTGAACCATAATACAAATTTACCCTGAGCCGGGATTTACACTCCATTTGCACCATTTCCAAACGCAGCCTAAAATAGATTGAATTGAATCATTCCAATTTGATTTGTTTATATTTGAATTGAAAATTACTTGTGTAATCCCAAACTTAAATTTATAAAAATTTATTAAAAATACAATATTCAACTATATCAATACAATATAAATTTCTAGTATATGTGAGTATATATATATTTAAATTGAGTCAGATTTTATCAGATCAGATAGAAGTGTATCTATATTTGATTCGATTAAAAAAGGATAGACTTAGATCACCATTGATGGGATCAAATTTGAATTCGAATTTGGACAACTGTTGTTTTAGTTCTAAAAATGGTGTTATTAACATCGACCAAATCAAGCACGATCACCATTTTTCTGTTACTTATATTTAGTGGCATTTACTTTTGCCAATGGGTTGGTTTGGTCGGGGTAGATCCAGTCCAGACCCGATGAACAAATGTGCAAAATCAATCCAAACCAGACCAGACCCTATAAGGTCTGTGATAACAGACTTGAAACTGAAACAATTATTGCATATGACCCTAACAGGTGCTGCGCTTGAGTCATTGAACTCAGCCACTTTGGTGGTTCCCAAACATGGTTTTCAAAACCGGAYTGGACTGGACGGTCAGACCAGAAAAATTGGAAATCGGTCAGGTGATCGGTTTCGTTTTTCCCCAAAATTGGATTTTTCTCAAAAACCATTGATTTTGGTCAGCAAATCGTTGACCCGGGCGGTTAACCGTTTGAACGGTTTTGACCATTTTTTAATTTTTTATTTTTTTGTTAGAACGGGACGACTGTTTGGTTCGAATGGCCGGACCGTTCGACCTGGAACCAGACCCTTGACCAGTTTGCTCTCCTGGTCGGTTTTAAAAACCTTGTTCCCAAATGACCCATGAATGATTGGTGACATTTCAGTTAGGGATCATTTTTTTTTTCTCCTAGGCCTGCATTGCCCACCTTATCCAGCCCAAAAAATTTCCTAACATGGACCCGGTATTAAAAATTAAAAATTTGGGAATTTTCTCGATTAGTACCTTGTAATTTGGGCTAGTGCCACTTTGGTCTCCAAACTTTAAAACGCGACAATTCAATACCCAAACTTTCAAAACGTGTCAATCCAGTATCTGCATATGATTCCAACTTTCTTGAATAGAAGAGGCAAGAATTTGGGACYGTTCATTTTTATCAATGTTTAGATGGTTTATAAAGAGAATTAGATGATACTTGTAGGGCATTTTTGTCTTTTCAAATAACACTTAATGACTAGTTAATGCTAAATACTAAATTGACACATTTTGAAAGTTTGAGTACTAAATTGTTGCATTTTAAAGTTTGGGGACCAAAATGGAACTAAGCCCAAAGTACAGGATATTAATTGGGAATTTTCCCTAAAAATTTTAGGGGCCATATATTAAACATCTATTATCAGCCTTAGCGTTCATTAAAAAATAGAAAAAACTGAATCAAACCAATAAAACTGAATTGAAAATTCTGATTAACCGAATTAGTTGATTCAATTTCGGTTAACCATTCTGAAAAATCAGCAATTAACTAAATTGATTGAAACCCACCCATGAATTTTGGGAAAAACTTTAGGTGTTGGGAGCCAGCTATTGAGAGAATTTCTGGAAATGCCACGTTACCATAAGAATGGGTAAATTAGCAATTACATCCTAATTTATTTTGACTAAAAACCAAGGCATGGGCATGAATAGGTGAACTGTCCAATGCCTAGAACATGCCCAGCCCAAAAACTGTCTCAACAGCCTATGCTGTTGGGTCCCAACAGCCAAAGTTAACCCTGAATTTTAATAATACCACCTGATTGGTTACCATGTTTATCATACCAGTTGATTTGTCACAAGTTTTTTAGATATCATGTCTTTCCTATATCATAGTGGAACCCTTATGTATATTATATATATATATATATATATTTCTCATATATACTTTATATTATCTATATATTTATAGTATATAATATATTATATGTATTTCTATTATTTCTATTATATATATTTATAATATATTATAAATATCAAAAAACCGAAAAACCAAAGAACAAAACCGACCAACCAATCAATCGGTTCAAATTAGGTTCACGATTTTTCAAAAACCGATGATATCGGTTCGACTTAAAAAATAGGCTCATGGTTCGGTCTATCAGCCCCGGGTGTCGCTCTGTGGGCCGAGCCTAGGCAGCTCAAAATTCTTTATTAAGCATATAACAACTCAGCCCGGCCCGTCCATGATCATCCTTGACTTTAGTGCGACGAAATAGGGACCCACTAAACAATTGGATGGTGAGATAAAGAACGAAACCAAGCCAGGTATATAGATCTGCGAATCCAACGGAGAGCAAATTCAGGACGTAATCAGGACTTACGATTTATAAAATGGTCAAACACGTTCATACCCGCCTCAAACGGGTAAACGGTCAACTAACAGGGGTATTATCGTAATTGGACATTATAGTGGAAGATGACATGACAGTGAGTTGCCTTGATGAGAGATTCCTTGGTTGTGAGGTTGGTAGTCTACTAAGAGGAGAAACACCGAGAAGGAATACCCAAATAAGAGAGGCAACAGAAAGAATTAATTGAAGAAGTTCTGATCGAAAATGGCGGTGGCGGGTCTGTATAGGAGACTTCTTCCATCACCTCCTGCAATCGAGTTCTCCTCGTCCGAAGGGAAGGTAAACCTCTCCATTCTCCAGTTCTTACTTCTTACTTTTCTGATTTCTCTCTCTCTCTCTCTCAATTCTTGTTGTTCAATTTGATGGATGTTCATTATATTGCGGGTGGATTATAATCTGTTTGAGTTGGGGTTATGAAGTGAAGTTTTAAAGTGATTCCACTCCCCAGCTATCAGAGACGTGTCTAATGCTTTAGCAATAGTTGTCAAAATGAGCAGTTCACCTTTGAACTACTATATTGATTTTTCCGGAGGCAGGGTAGTTTGTCATAGGGTGAAACATCCGTAAACATGAAAAAGGTGAAACATCCTTAAACAAGAAGATATATAATTGAAGATCCAATCTGAGCCAGATCATACACAATAGATTAGTTGGGCAATAGTCAATCTGATAATTATGCACAAAGCAGCATTGGGTGCAAAAGTAAGTCAAAATTAGATTGAGCTACACATACAGAACATAACAAGTTCAACATGCATATCTGGACTGATGCCAGATATAGGGTTATAGGGTTATAGGGTCAGTATACGCTGATCACCATATCTTTTGAATTGGGTACAATGTATAATCAGTTCCCTAAATGTACTGGTTGAACCTGGCTTTATTCAGGTTAATTTGCTCTTTCTATTGGTATTTAGTGTATTGAATACCAAAGGCACGGTTTTGTAGTGGTTATTTGTACTTATTTATTCTTACTTTATTAACTACCATCTGTTGCTCCTATCATGGTTTTGGAGCAGCATCTTTTCACTGAAGCTCTTCATAATGGAAACATGGAAGGATTCTTCAAGTTAATTTGTTACTTCCAAACCCAGTCAGAGCCTGCATATTGTGGACTGGCCAGCCTTTCTGTCGTCTTGAATGCCCTTGCAATTGATCCTGGAAGAAAATGGAAAGGTAAGTCTTGAGTTATGGGCGTTTGTTTTAATTAAAGATCAAGTTGATACTATTTTAAGTCTACACTTTGTGTATTATTATTTTCTTTTGATGGAAAATTAAAATTTACTAAAGAATAAAGAAGAACAAAACCAAAGTGAGTTCCAATGGGTGATAAAATGAGGGAAAGTAGACTAAGACGGACTGTTCACATACAGAGAAGACCATCTACAACACCTGTAAGAAGTGATCTGATATAAGTTCAAGGGGCTAGAAGAGCTAGGGGCAACCAAAAAGGACATGGGTGGAAGTAGTAAGAAGTTATTTAAGAGCTCATAATTTAACAATGGATATGACACTGAACAGAATGGAATGGAGAAACAGAATTCATGTAGCTGACCCAATATAGTTGGGGCAAGGCTTAGATGATGATGATGATGTATGCAAATGTATGTCTACATGTTTCAGCCTTATTTCTCAACTCTAAACTGAATCATTAAGATAGTTGATCCAATTATAGTGATATTTTCCCAATTGCATTTTGCATTGTTGTTATTTAATGATTTTTTTATTTTATTCACAGGCCCTTGGAGATGGTTTGATGAATCCATGTTGGATTGCTGTGAACCTTTGGAAAAAGTTAAAGCTGAAGGCATCACGTTTGGAAAGGTTGCATGTTTGGCTCACTGTGCTGGAGCTAAAGTTGAAGCTTTTCGTACAAGCCAGAGCAACCTTGATGATTTCCGTAAATATGTCATAGCTTGTACTTCATCCGAGGACTGCCATGTTATTACATCATACCATAGAAGACCTTTTAAGCAGGTAATAATTGTGTATATCAGTTCAATTACTCATACTCTTTTTCTTAATTTTACCTTCTGTTAAATTATAGTTTCTAGACAGGCTTGTTGGTTACATCAACCTCTGTGATTATCAAAGTAAAATACTGCTCAGAAGACTTGCGCTCAATTACTCGGTTTGTTGAGTTGTTCATTAATTGATTTTGTTAATTGATGATGCACAATCTGGCCGGTCTTAGCTGTCAATG